TCACAACCCTGTGCGACCCTCGGCATCAGTTTCACCATCTGTACGATGGGAATGATAATAGCACCTCCCTCACCGACTCACCAAGTTTTAGGGTTGGAAAGGACCTCAGTGTCCATTTAGTTCAGCCAATGCTACAATCTCTCTGACAAGTGATTCTCCAGCCTTGAAGACCCCGACCAGCCACTTCCCAGGGCAGCCCAAGGCACTTGTGGACAGCTCTAATCTTTTGGAAGTTTTTAAGTCTGAATTTATCTATTTTCAACCTTCACTAATTGTCACCGGTGCAGCCCTGCAGCACCTAAAAGCACAAGTCCGTTCTCCCTTCCAAACACTTCCCCTAAGCCTTCTTTCCCCAAACCAAACAGCCCCATGACATGGACTCAGAGACCCTCACCATCTTGGTTACCCTTTCTCTGGGTGCTCTCCTGATTGTTAACAGCCTTCCTAAAATGTAGTGCAGCTAAGTGATGGAGTGCTGGGCCTGGAGTCAGGAAGACCTGAGTTTAAATCTGGCCTCAGACACTTAATAGCTGTGTGACCCTGGGCAAATCACTTCACCCTGTTTGCCTCAGCTTCCTCGTGTATAAAATGAGCTGGAGAAGGAAATGGCAAAATCCTCCAGTATCTTTGCCAAGAAAACTCCAAATGAGGTCATGAAGAGTTAGACATGATTGAAAAACAGCAAAAAAAAATAAAGTATCTAGAATTAAACATAATACTCCAGAGCTGAATACAAAAGGACCACCATCTCCTTATTCCTGGAGACTATGCCTCCTTTAATGTATTTAGCCCAAGATCACATTAGTTTTTTGGGTTGCCATAATCACACTATTGACTCACATTGAGTTTGTATTCAATGAATATTCTCAAATCTCTTAGAAGCAAACTGCTGTCTAAGTAGGCCTTCACCATCTTGTACTTATGAAGTTTTTTTTTTTCCTAACCCAAATTTGACTTTACATTATTAGCTGTGTGTCCATGGTCAACAGGAAGTATGGTGTATTGGAAAGAGTTGAAATCTAGAAGACCTGAGTTCATATCTTAGACACTTTCTAGCTGTGTAACCTTAAGCAAGTCGCTTAACCTATCTAGGCCTCACTTACCTCAAGTGTAAGATGCTGGGGTTTTACTTGATGACCTCTAAAGCAGGGGTGTATTAGCAGATGTTTAACAACCAGACACTATGGGGGGGAAAATCTATGCACACACTTTTAAATTTGGTCTCCGTTATTTATACTTTCTTAAGTCTAAACAATATTTTTTAAAATCAATCCCTGATTTGTAGTGATTGTGATTTTCTAAAGTGGAAATAGTCACACTAAAAATTTAACAGTCTCTTGCAAAGGACCTAAGACATCTCCAAAATTCTCATGACAGAAAATGCCATCCACATCCAAAGTACTATAGAGTTTGAATGCAGATCGAAGCATACTATTTGCTCTTTTTTTTTCTTCTGGTTTGTTTTGTTTCTTCTTTCTTGTGGTTCCTCCTATTGGTTCTAATTCTTCCTTACAACATCACTAATGTGAAAATATGTTTAATAGGAATGTATATGTAGAGCCTACATCAGATTGCATGCCATCTTGGGAAGGGAGGTGGGGAAGGAGGGGGAGAAAATTTAAAACTCAAAAACTTATGAAAGTGAATGTTGAAAACTAAAAATAAATGAATTAATTAAAAAAACCAATCTCTTGCAAGCAGGTAAGAGCTGCCTCCAGCACATCTCTGCTCTAAGGCCCCTTCCTGATCTAAAATCTATGATCCTTTGAATTCACTTAATCTCACTGGGCCTTAGGAATAGGGGTTTCTTTTTAACCTATAAAAAGTAATTGAATAGGTACTCCAATATAGCTGAAACAATGTGGTTAGGTAATTAGCCCTTGAAAAGTTCATTTCCATACATGTAAAAAGTTTTGCCACTAAAAAAATCTTGTCTGATAAAAATAGGGCCTCCAAGGACTCTGTATATTCCAATTTTCAGGTTTTCAAGGCGATTAAAAATATCATTTACGTGTATTTCCACACAGATCACTCGCTACTAGCTGAGAAGTTTGGGCAGCATGCTTGTTTGTTCAGTCATTTTTTCAGTTGTGTCTGACTTTTCACGACCCCATTTAGGGTTTTCTTGGCAAAGATACTAGAGTGATTTGCCATTTCCTTCTCCAGCTCATTTTATAGATGAGGAAATTGAGGCAGACAAGGTGAAGTGACTTGCCCAGGGTCACACAGCTACTAGGAAGTATCTGAGGCCAGATTTGAACTCAGGAAGATGAGTCTTCCTGACTCCAGAGCCAGAACTCTATCCACTGCACCACCCAGCTATCTGGGCAGTATATGACTCAGAGGTAAACCACCATTCATTTCTGACATTAAGTTAGCTTTAAGCTTGTTGGCTATTCCAGTGATTAGAGGCAATTTGGAATCTGGTCCCTGGAAAAAATTCACAGGATTTTCTATCTATTCCTCTGACATTTTGTCTATAGTGAGTGGGTTTACTAATCCAAGAGTATCTTAAAGCCTGATTTGGGGTCAGGAGGATAGAGGGGTCCCAATGAAGACATCATTTCAAGAATTCCATAAACAAGTAATCATCACATCCATTTAGTGCAGGTGTCCAGTCTTTGCTGCCTGGGGGACCTCACTTCTCACCCTGGACTGCCCTCCCCTCCTCTTTAGTCAACCCAAAAAACTAATGTGATCTTGAGCTGAATACATTAAGAGAAGCATAGCCTTCAGGAATAGGGAGATGAAGTTTCTTTTGTATTCAGCTCTGGAGTATTATGTTTAATTCTAGATACTTTATTTTTGTTGTTGTTGTCCAATAGTGTCTAACTCTTCATGACCTCATTTGTAGTTTTCTTGGCAAAGATACTGGAGGGGTTTGTCATTTCCTTCTCCAGCTCATTTTACAGATGAGGAAGCTGAGGCAAGCAGGGTTAAGTCACAGTACAATATCAGGGCAGACCCTCGGAGCTGATAAAGTACTTGGCACACTTAGCTTGCTTGAGAAGTTTTGGAGAAGGCATACCTAGCAGCTCCATTATATAAGCTTATTAGTCTCCGTCATCCTCTCCAGGGAAGAGAGGCTATCCAGTCAAAATGCAGCCCAAACTCCAGACATCAATAGGTGTATTAGAGAGACTTCCCAAGATGATGTCTGGCGCTCTGCAGAAGCAAGGACATATGTGTAGAGTTTCCAGTACTCAAAACAGCTGAACGCAAAGCCGATAACCTTGGTTACATTGCAGCCATGTTGTTTTAGAAGAAAGTTTTCTGGCTTCAGGTCACAATGAATGATCTTGTTTTTGTGGAGAGCATCCAGGGATTGCAAGATAGAGTGAGCAAATTTGTGCACCTGCTGGACACTGAACCCCCCAACCTTGAGCTTTTTGATTGGCTCGTAGAGGTCTATGCTTAGCAGTCCAAAGGCCATACAGACTTGGTTCTGGAATATAAAGCTGTCTAGCATGTGTATAACTTTCATGCTGCCTGTTTCATTCTGTTTCTTAATTTCCTCGGCTGCTCGTCGATGAAAGCACTTTTCATTGTGAACCATCTTCAGGGCAACAAACTGGTAAAGTTTGTGAGCATGGACTGGAGCTACCTGCCCAAAGCTGCTTTTGCAAATGATTTCTGGTACCTCACATGCATATGTCAATTGGTCTTGGGGTACATAAATATAGCTCCCCTCAGCAGCATCATAGCTCCCCTTGTTGGGGCCACTGAAAATGCCTTGGCATTTGGACCCGCATAATAAACTTCAGCATAATTGATGATTTCTAGCTTCTTATAAGGAGTCAGTTTTCACTTACACTGCTCTAGCACTTGAGGGGGCAGAGGTACCACTTTCAGTGCTTTGGATGAGTTATTCGATATGCCAGTGTTCAAACTATCTGAACTTTAACCCTGAGAAATAGTAGGAGAACACTTTTCAGAGAAATTTGCTCCTGCGGACTGAAGAGTATTGGACCTCCTGTTGCCAAATTCTGGACACAGCTGTTCCACCTTAATGTCAACTCCATTTGGGATTGGTTGAGTGTGAGCTTTTGTTCTTGGCATTTCAGTAATAATATTGAAGGCAAAAGGAGAGGGAGATGGCAGAGGATGAGATGGAGAGACAATGTTATGGAAACAATGAACATGAACTTGGACCGTCTTCAAGAGAGTGGAAGATAAAAGGACCTGGCATGCTATGGTCCATGGGGTCATGAAGAGTTGGGCATGACTAAACAACTGAAAAATAACAACAATATAATCTTCTGGAGAGAGGTGGTTAAGAAGGGTCACAGACTATATTTGTGCCAAATGGACATTTGGTTTCACCTAATATCACAAAGATATTATATACACCATCCCCCCCCACCTCCACAACTCCTGGGCCAGGGTCTTACAGGTCCAGCATCCTTCCTCCTGGGCCCTTGGGCAGTGCCACCCACCTTGGTACCTGGGACCTCTCCATAGTGGGGGACCAGGGTGTCTGAGAAGAGCTACCTTAGATCCCCAGCAGTGGCAGGGCTGGTACAATCAGGGGTTCTTAACCTGGGATCCATAAAATTGTTTTTTTAAGTATTTTGATAACTATATTTCGGTATAATTAGTTTTCTTTATCATCCTATACATTGCATTTTATGAATTTAAAATCATTATTTTGAGAAGGGGTCCATAGCCTTCATCAGACCGCCAAAGGATTCCATGACACACAAAAAAGTCAAGAACCCCTGAGATTTCTAAGGTTTCCTCCCTCTTTAATACCCTTTGATTCTCCCCTTCCTACCCACATAAGGCACTCAGCACTATTTTGTTCCCTATGGGTAGGGTTCTCATGTGTGTGCATTTTAGGGCACAATATTATCAGCAACCATTCTCTTTGATTCCAACTCTAGGGAGAAGAATTCTCTTCTTCTGTCAGATCAATGACTAACTCTCCAAGGAAGGACTGTAGAAAAGGAAATGGAAGGTGGGAATGGGGGTATAGGGGAGATAAAGTTCTATCAACTCACTTGTAATTGCCTCGTCTGGAGGCAATATGAAGAGGTAACAACCCGTCCTTATTGGATTTGTTCGCATCCGCTCCCTGAGACAAGAGGAACTCCACCACGTTTTCGTGTTCATTTTTACAAGCTTCATAGAGGGCTGAGGCACTGTCACTGGCCTGAGTATTAATGTCCGCACCTAGCCAAGAACAAAAAGATTGGTCTAGCGCTCTGAAGACCTTGGCAAGATTGGGGAGGGGACAAAAGTCTTTTTTGGGATGCTGCTTCCTGATCTTTCCTCTTCTTTCAGTATCTTTTTCTCCTTGACAGGTTCCCAGGGTTTCTCTATTCTCCCAGGTCCCTCTCATCTAAGAGGAAAGTACATCTGACGAACACATGTGCATTATAGTACTGGTAATCTAAGGCTCCACATTCCCATTGTACTGAAAGTCCCTATGGGATGCTGGCCTTCGAACCAGGAGAAGTACACTGAAGTTGAACCCAGAGAACCAAGGTTCAAATCACAGTTCTGTTTAGCATCCGCTTTAGTTCCTCACTGTCACTCATCCCACATATGTAATCAATTGCCTAATCTTATTGTTTTAGGTAAGTTCCCTTGACTCAAACAGCTACTATCTTGGTTGAGACTTTAAAGTCTTATCCCCTGGACTATTTTTAATTTTTTTTTTTAATTTTTGGAGGTAAGCAGGATTAAGTGACTTGCTCAGGGTCACATAGCTAGTAAGTGTCTGAGGCTGAATTTGAACTCAAGTCCTCCTGACTCCACGGACAGTGCTCTATTCACTGCACCACCTAGGTACCCCTATCACCTGGACTATTGCAATAACTTTTTAAATGATCTCCCTGCTTTGAGTCTCCCCCAACTCCAATCTCTACTCAGTTGTCAAAGTGATTTTTTCCAGAATGTAGATCTGAGCATTTAATCCTTCTACTCAATAAATCCAGTGGTTTCTATTACCTGTAGAATCAAATATAAAGTTCTTTGACATTTAAGGCACTTCACAACATAGCCCCTTCCTATCTCCACATATTCTATGATCAAGTCCATTTACTGTTTCTAGCATACAACCTTCTATCTCTTGTCTCTGAACCTTTTTAATAGCTGTCCCTATATCTAGAATGGGCAGCTAGGTGTTGCAGTAGATAGAGCCCTGGGCCAGGAGTCAGAAACACCTGAGTTCAAATATGGTCTCAGATACATACTAGCTGTGTGACCCTGGGCAAGTCATTTAACCCTATTTGCCTCAGTTTTCTCATCTGTAAAATGAGCTCGAGAAGGAAATGTCAAACCCCAAACCCCTCCTGCATCTTTGCCAAGAAAACCCCCAAATGGGGTCACAGAGAGTTGGACACAACTAAAGTGACTGAACTACAACATAATTAATAGGCACTTAACAAATACTTACTGAACTGAATTGAATTGAATTCTAACTTTAAAACTCAAAACACAATGTCAAAGATCTCTATCAACTTCCCTTAAAAACTTCATCCTGGGGGCAGCTAGGTGGTACAGTGGATAGAGCACCAGCCCTGGAGTCAGGAGGACCTGAGCTCAAATCTGATCTCAGACAGTTGACACTTAACTAGCTGTATGACCTTGGGCAAGTCACTTAACCCCATTGCCAAGCCAAAAAACAAACAAACAAAAAACCCAAAAAACCAAAAACTTCATCCTGGTCAGACAAGCTGTTCACCCACTCAAGAAAAACACTTTTACTTATAAATGAACATAGCATATGAAGGTATGGGGAGGAGGGAGGAAGGAATACACATAGGATCAACCCGATGTATGTCTGTAATATACCTGACTTTTGACATCATCTAATATGTGTCTCTGTCCTTTACAATCCCATCTCCTTAGCTCTAGAGACCTATTTCTGTGCCTCTGTCTCCAGATGGCCAGTACATATTTGCCCTCAACCAGTGAACAAATCTCTCTTCTCTGCTCAGATGTTTGCTAAACCCATCAGATGTTTATCTGAGCATAAAAGCTGCCTGCCAACTTTTGCATTCCCTTGACCCAAATGCCCAGGCCATGTTTGGCGATTTTAAAATGTCATAGCTAGAAATAGTATGGGGATGGCATTGAGCAAAGAAGTCTATTTTATTAAGATGGAAAAATATAGAATTGATGATTTATGAACTACCAGACTGGAAAACTAACCTCTTGAGAATTCATTTGTGCCTTTGTCAAGGTTTTATTTTGCTTTGTTTTTCCACCATTGGAACCGTAGAACCCTGAACTTAAGAATGCAGGAGATCCAGGTTCAAATCTCAGCTCCCCCACTTACTAGTTACATGAACTTGAGCAAGTTCCATAGTGTTCCTAAAATTTAATTTCTTCATCTGTAAAACCTAGCTGTTAGTTTCTTTACTATCTTCCAAGATTCTTAGGATCATAGACTTTAAAACAATTAGGACCTAACAGATCTAGTCCATTAAAGTAGTTTGGATAAAGCATAGTCCCTGTTCTCATGAAGGTTGCATTCTAAAAGCACTAGATTTCTTTTGGCCTAACTTTATTACATTTGTTCAATTGTATTTCAGTTGTGTCCAACACTCTGTGACTCCATTTGGGGTTTGGTGTTTTTTTTTAGGCAATTGGGGTTAAGTGATTTACCCAGGGTCACATAGCTAGTAAATGTCAAGTGTTTGGTCTGAGGCTGGATTTGAACTCAGGTCCTCCTGACTTCAGAGCCAGTGCTGTATCTACTGTGCCACCTAGCTGCCCTTCTTGGGCAGACTCTTAAGGAGTCTGAACATTAGTGCGCTTATTGGCTAGATTGTAAAAATCTGAGCAGTGGCTAGATTTTAAGAATCTAAGCATTTAGCTAGATTATAAGAATCTAAGCAGTGGTTAGATCTTAAGAATCTCAGCCCATTTGGGGTTTTCTTGGCAAAGATACTGGAATGGTTGGCCATTTTCCTTCTCCAGCTCATCTGATAGATGAGGAAACTGAGGGCAACAGGGTAAAGTGACCTGCTCAGGGTCACACAGCTATTAAGTGATTAAGAACGAATTTGAAATCAGTCTTCCTGACTCTTGGCCCAGCACCCTATCCACTATGCCACCTAGCTGCCTAACACAATTACATACATATATAAAAATTAGTGTAACTAGGTTTTGTACTGGTGGCCCTTTCTGGTGGGGAAAACGTTTTCAAACCTAACTATAAGCTCTAGGAATTGTAGTCTTGAAAAGATAGCACTTTCTCCCCATCCTGGGAAAGACTGAGTCTATCACAAAATTTGAGCCAAGGCCTTCTGTCGTGGCCAAGAAGTTCTTCAGTTAGACTGCAGCAGAAGAGGTTCAGGTTTTAGAATGGAATAAAGTATGATAGCAGGTGTTTTGAATGGAAATTAACAATGGAGCATTGATACTGGTAGACCTTTCCTGTGTACTATTTTACCTATTAAAAGTATGGGGTAGAAGTGAGGACTGGAAAAGATGGCTGGAATGTATTGATCATCAACTGTGACCTTTCTTTGAGAGCTATGGAAAAGCTGCAAAAGGTTGAACTCTCCCAACTTGCTAGCATGTGCATTGTCTATTATTTTCTCTATTTCTTTCACCTGTTTCTATTTCCTGATTTTTTTTTTGTTTCATATTAAAACTACAATTGATCATTACTTTACTGTGATAAAGGGAAGAGTGAAATGGAGGAAGCTAGCAGATAGCTGGAAATGCACAGAATTCAAACAGGACAGTAGAAGTCTGCACCTTGGTTCAGAAGAGCTAGGGTCATCCTACCTTGAGGGCTCTGGAATAAAAGTAAAAGAAATCTTACGGGCTTGATTATTAATAACTTTTTATAAACTTCCCAAAACACTGAACCAAAATGGATCTGGAATTTTTACTTGCTTTTCCCTAGGCTAAAGAACAAAACAGAACAACAACAAAAAAAACCCAAGTCATTGTTGAACTTGATTCAGATGTGGCTTAGAATGCAGGCACTTCATGAAATCTACTGTCCCTCACCAAGGGGTGGGTCAGAGGTATAGATCAAAGGAGGGCCATGCCTCCTTAGCTACCTAGTAGAAGGAGAAAGGTGTGATCTGGAAAGAATCTGCCCAGACTACTTCCCTAGGTCTCTTAATTTCATTTTTGCTTTCTACTCTAAACCTCCAAACCTCACCTGCTGGTTACAAAAGCTTTGAAAGGTGGTTTGTTTGTTACTTCCAAGAAGGAAGGAAACGAACATTAATTAAGTACCTACTACTGCCAGACACTGTGCAAAGTACTTTATAAATGTTATCTCATTTGATCTTCACAACAACCATGGGAGGTAGGTGCTATTTTTATCCCCATTTCACAGCTGAGGAAACTCAGGCATTCAGAGGTAAAGTGACTTGCTCAGGGTGACTTAGCTAGTAAGAGTGTGAGTTCAAATCTGAACTCAGATCTTCCTGACTCCAGACCCAGCATTCTATCCAATGCACCACCCAGCCTCTTTCCAAGTCTCGAATTCTATGACTCAAAGATATCTTTCAGCTCTAACTTTCTTTGTCCTAATGTCTTTTATTTCTGAAATGCTTTGATTCTTATTTAGGGTCACTCACCATGCTTAGCCAGAAATCTCAGTGCCTCCAGCTGTCCACTCTGGGCAGCCACAAATAAAGGGGTAATGCCGTATGCATTCTTGGATTCCACCTTGGCACCTCCGCTCACCAGAATTTCCATAACTTCCAAGTCATTCCGGGCCACAGATTCATGGAGAGCAGTCCAGCCACGGTTGCATCGATGGTTGGTATCAGCATTGTACTGCACCAGCATCCTGACAGCTTCCACATTCTTCTTCTCACAAGCTGTACCAGGAAAAATGCAAACCACTGAGCAGAATGATGAACATGGGAGAGGGGTCTGTCACCTAAAAACAGTCTGCTGGGAAAGGATTAGTCCTCTGAAGAAATGAGTTTCAGAAGGTGGCTTGAGGCCCCTGGAGGTTTATGAAGGTCCTCCCAGTGATTTGTAGGATGATGCAAATAATCTTAATGGTTATATTCTAATACTATCTATAATTATAGAACCTAGGAACCTCTGGCTTCTGGGCTAGATCTAGCCATGGAATTAGTTTCATTTTGTTAACACATTTTCTCAAATTGAAAACATTTATTAAACACTTAATGTGTGAAGAGCAATGTTCTTTGTACTAGGATATTTTGGATAAGGAGATTTGGATAAAAAGAAGTATATTTTGGATAAGACGCTCTCCTTGACCTCATTAAGGTTATAATCTAGTAAAATTAAATATCTATGGAGCATCCCTACCCCTACCATTAAGAATACCTAACACAATTATGAGTTTAACTAAAATAGAAGCCCTAAGAAAGATTTATTCTATTTAATTCAACAAACATACTATTGCTAATTAATTCCTTTTATTTGTACTATTCACATGATCAGATTTTATGAGATACTTAATGGGTATATATTGTGTATAAGGAAGCCAAGGTGCTAGGATCAACATTCCCAGAAGCATTCCACTGAGTAGTTTATGATCTACTTGGGAAGACAGATGTAAATGTGTGAAAAGAAAAGTAACAATGAAAGAAGTTTTTTTTTTATGATACTTGAAAAAAATTCAAGAGAAATCATGAAAAAGTGCATAATTATTAAAGTACGACGTAGAACAGGAAATGCAAAGAATTCAGAGAACAACTGTGAACTGATAATCATCACAGACACTCCATTTCTTGACTGTGTATTTTCAGTGGCTGTCCCCTATGCCTAGAATCCTCTCTCATCTCTGCCTCCAGGCTTCCTGGTCTCCTTCAAGACTCAGCTAACATCCTGCCTTCTGCAAGAAACCTTTCACTCTATCTCTCAACACTAATGCCTCTTCTCTGTTTATTATCTCCAATTTATCCTGTGTATGTCTTGTTCATACATAGTTGTTTTCATGTTCTCCCATATTAAACTGTAAGCCCCTTGAGGCCAGGAACTGTTTTTCCTCCTTTATTGTTATATTATAATATTATAATATTATATTATGTTATGTTATGTATGTTATGTTGTATTACATTGTATTATATTATACTATACTATACTATACTATATTATATTATAATTATATTATATTCCCAAGATTTCATAAACACTTACTGACTTTCTGGAGGGGCCAGGACTTCAATTGGACCTTGAATAATGGGTAAATTTTGGACTGGCTTCAAGAACAGAGTATTGACCTAAGAGTCAGAAGATTCTGATTTTGACATTAACTCACTCTGTGACATTAGGCGAGCCACTTCTCTGGACCTTAGTTGCTCCCTTAGTAAAATGAAGTTACACAAGATGACTTCTGGTGTCCCTCCCAGCTCTAACACCCTATAATTCCAGAAGGTGGAGGAGGTGGTAGGGGAGGCGATGTTACCAGCATCCTTGATTTTCACCACCTTCCACCTATACAAACAGAAGGAATTTCTTGTTCTTCCTAGAAGTAGTTACACGAGCACAGTGATTAGAATGCTGGGCTTGGAAGATCTAAGTTCAAATCTGACTAGCTGTGTGACCCTGGGCAAGTCACCTGACCTCTCTTGCTTCAATTTCCTCAGCTGTAAAATGGGGATAATAATAGCACCTACCTCCCCGGGTTGTTGCAAGGATCAAATGGGATCATATTTGTGAAGCACTTAACACAGTGCCTGGCATAGTAGGTGATTAACAAATCCCTATTTCCTCCCTTCCTCTGAGCATTGCAAAATCCTAAATTTAGAGCTGGAGGGACCCCAGAGGCCACCTAATCCCAAACCCTTCACTTTAAAGATCAGCGGTTAAGGCTCAGAGATCAAGTGATTTCCTCAGCATCACCTATCCAGTGAGATGGGATTTAAACCCAGGTTCACGAGGCTTCTATTGTGTTTACTTCTTTCCCTGTTTTATCACCCTAATTAGAAAATTTTCTTTGAATCTTCCCTACCACTTATATAGAACATAGCCATTTAATGAATGTCTTAGGAATGAATGGATGAATAAACAAGCAAATGAACCAAAGGCATGCTGTACAATAGTATAACTTGATTTCTTTAGGGCAGTTGACCAAAATATTAATTAGTATACTTGTGAACAAGGAGAAGAACTGTGGGCAGGGTTTATAGGTAGGTGTAAATCTAAACAAATGGGACTGATGATTTCAACCTGAAAGAATACCTCTAATGGCACATTACAGGCATCCCTCCATAGCCTTATTCTAGTTAACATTTGTATCAATGATTTGGATGTAGATGGCATAAGACTGAAGCTTAGAAAATAATGGAACTATCATTGCATGCAGTAATATTGATATTAATAATTAATATCAATATGATTTACTGTTACAATTAATATTGTGAGTCACATTATAATTATTTTAAGAACCATCATTAATATTACCTAGATTAATATACTTTTATATTATTGGGTGATTATTAGTGAATATTAATATTTTAATAATATATTATTTTATAAAATAGCTTAGAAATAAAATAATATATGCTCAATGGCTTTGTGTGACTGGCCAGGGTTGACAAGATGAAATTCAATAAGGATAAAATTAAAGGCCTGTACTTGGGCTCCAAAAATACAACTTCAGGATGGAGAACACCAGGCTGAGCACTGAAATGTCAATAGAAGTAAACAGTGTGGCTTTGAAGCCAAAAAAGTGAAGTGATCATACCCTGCATTGACAGATGTGTGATAGAGCACCGGCCCTGGATTCAGGAGGACCTGAGTTCAAATCCAGCCTCAGAAACATAACATTTACTAGCTGTGTGACCCTGGGCAAGTCACTTAACCCCATTGCCTAGCCAAAAAAAAAAACCCAGATGTGTAGTGTACAAAATGAGGAAGGTGAGACCACATCTGGAGGACTGTGTTCATTTCTGGTCATCAGATGTTAGCATGATCATTGTCAGGCTATGACATGTCCAGAGGAGCATGACCAGGATGGTAAAGGGTCTCAAAATGATGATGGAACTTGAATAATAATTGCCAGAGTGCTGTAAGGTTTGCCAAGCCCTTCACTTGTTATCTCATTTGTTCTTCACAACAAAGTTGTTTTAGGTGTTAGAATTAACCCCGTTTTACAGATGAGGAGACTGAGGCTGAGAAAGGTTAAATGACTTGCCCTGGTTCATACAGCTTAGTAAATCTACAAGGCTGAATTTGAACTCAGGTCTTCCTGACTCCAAGTCTAACAATTTAGCTAATGTACCACCTAGCAACTGAATGTTTAACTTGAAAACTTAGTATAACATGGTAGCTATCTACAGGACAATATTATCAGGAAAAGGATTCTATTTGCTCAGTGTAGCTTCATAGGAGGCAGTAAAACCAATGGGTAGAAAATTCCTAGGATGCAAAATTTGGCTCAAATTGTCATTCTAAACAGCCTGATCATAGAACTGAAGTGTTCTGTGAGAGAGTGAGCCGCCTGTCATGGGAAGTGTCTCTGCAAAGACTGGATGACCACTTGGGGGAGATGTTGCAAAAGGAATTCCTGGATCCCCGCATGTAGAAGTCAATTATACCCAAGGAGTTTCAGGATGTCTTTAAGCAATGACAGCCACAATTAAACCAAGTCTTTCTTCGAAGGGAACAACATGTATTTGAAAGTTTCATTTCTGGGGTGTCCGTCGCAGTGTCATTTTCATTGCTGTCTAGTACTTTAGGTACTCACCTTTATAGAGTGGGGTCTCTCGGGACTTGTTAGAAATATCGGGTTCAGCTCCACATTGTAAAAGCGTAAGTAGGCAGTCTAGGTTTCCCCTACAGGTTGCTATGTAAAGGGCTGTTTCCTCCTGAAGGGTGCGTTGATCAATAACACCAGGATATGCTAGAGGAAAGACCATTTGAAAGATCATTATCAATAAACTCACCCAAGGTGGCACAGTGGGTAGTACACTGGGCTTAGAACCAGGAGGACTCAACCTCCTGAGTTCAAATCTGGCCTTAGATATTCACTAGCTGTGTAATCCTGGGCAAGTCATTCACCCTCTTTGCCTCAGTTTCCTCATCTGTAAAGTGAACTGGAGAATGAAATGGTAAACTACTTTGATATATTTTTCAAGAAGACCCCAAATGGCATCATAAAGAATCGAACATGACTGAACAACAGGAACACACATGCACATTTATAGGATGTCCAAAAATCTTAGTGCCCCTTTAAGCTTTACTATCTTTCAACTGCACTAAGAATTTTGGGACACTATGAACTGAACGTTTAGAAAGCAGCCCACACACTTATCAATGAATGGCTTGGATTTCAAGGAAGAACATTTATGAAATTACATGAAGTGAACCCACATATTGTATTGATATTTGTCTAATGCTTCTAATTGTCCAAATGTTTTAATATAGATAGTTTAATGTTGTCTCATACCAGAACTGAGAGGCAGGTAAAGCAGTTATCCTGAATTTGACAAATGACAGAATTGAAGTCTAGAGATTTAATACTACGAACTCACATCTCTAAAGCAGAAGCATCTAGGTGGCAAAATGGATAGAGCACTGAGCCTTGAATCAAGGAGAACTAAGTTCAAATTCAGCCTCAGATATTTATTAGCTGTGTGACCTTGGGCAAGTCACTTAACCTCTGTCTGCCTCAGTTTCCTCAACTGTAAAATGAGGATATAAATAACACCTACCCCCCAGGATAGTTGCAAGAATCAAAGGAGATAATAAAGTACCTGGCACACAGTAGGCATGAATACTTATTTGCTTCCTTCCTAAAACAAGACATGGTGTAGTGGACAGGGAGGCCCCTCAAAGTCAAAAAGACTTATGTTTAAACCTCCTGAACACCTACTGACTGATTTCAGGTAAGTCATTCAATCCATTAGTGCTCTAAGATGTGGGTTCTTCCACTGGGGCTTAGGGGGGTCAGTGAAGTTGGATGAGAAAAAAAAAGTGCAACTTCATTTTCACAAACCTCTAACTGAAATTTAGCATTTTGTTCAATTTAAAAAATAGTTTAATTTAAAAAAATATGCCAAGCCTCCCTATCTCCCCCAGGTTGGAAGCACAAGAAGATCCAGTGACCAGTCAGTCCCTCTACTAATTGAAAGGGGAGCTTTGATTAACTTTATTTCCAGCCTGGGTCAGTTTGTCCCTGCTTTGGCAACGTGGTGTCCTCACCCTCCCCAGGCTCACCATATTAATGACAAACAGTGCTGATATCGTATCAGCATTATTCACTGTAGCTCACAACTCCCAAACTCCAAAGATCCACCCACCTCAGCTTCTTTAGTGGCTGAGATTACAGGCACCACACTTGATTTAATTAATTTAGAAAACATTATTCTGAGAAGGGATCCATAGACCTCACCAGATTGTCAGAGGTCTATGACCCCCCAAAAAAGTTAAGAACCCCCATTCTAAGACTATAAACAGCAGAGAAAATTCCCACCTACACTGGTAGAGTTCTTTCACATATGAATTCCATATATATAGTTTATATATATATATGTGTGTGTGTGTGTGTGTATAGTGAGAAAGTAATTAATAAATGTTAATTTGCATTTGCTATGCATCAGATGTCTTTATGCATTTTGTTCAGTAGTGTCCAACTCTTAGTGACCCCATATGGGGTTTTCTTGGCAAAGACATTGGAGCAGTTTGCTAGTTCCTTCTCCAGCTCATTTTACAGATAAGGAAACTGAGGCAAAAAGAGTTAAGTGACTTGCCCAGGATCATACAGCTAGTAAGTGTCTGAGGCCATAGTTGAAGGCCATTATGAAGATGAGTCTTCCTGATTCCAAGTCCAGTACTCTATCCACTATACCACCTAGCTTTTTATATGTGTGTATGTGTATGTGTATGTGTGTGTGTGTGTGTGTATGCATGCATATAAATATATGTATATATGTTTTGTGTATGTGTATACGTATATAAATATAGTAGGATTATTAAATGAGACAGACTTTTTACACGTGTCTTTACATAGTCCAACCTTTCTTTTTCTTCCTTCCATTGTCGGCTGTCTTCCCACATCGTTATCTAATGCAGATTTACCATTCTTTTTCAACTCACCTTTCTGCAATATTTTCAGACAACCCAACTGGCCATAATAGGCAGCTTCATGCAGAGGGAGCCATCCATCCTTGTTGGGCTCAGAGAGGTTTTTGCCTGACTGGATCATGGAAGTTAAGGCATTCTCATCACCATCCTTAATGGCCTTCACTACGGGGTCTATGGCTCTTTAAGAATAAGGAGAGCTAGTTAACATCGGCTTGCCTCAACAGTCAAGCAGTCAAACAAGCATTTATTAGGTACCTCTTGTGACCCAGGCACTGTGTGGGGAATACAAAGAAAGGCAAAACAACAGTCCCTGCTCTCAGGGAGTTCACAGTCTAATGAGGGAGATACCATGCAAACGATTACGTACAAACAAGCTATAGGCGCAGTAAATTGATGATAATTAAGAGAGGGAAGGCCTTAGGATAAAGGGAAATCAGGAAAGCCTTCTTGTCGAAGGTGAAATTTTAGCTGGAACTAGAAGGAAAATAGGAAGAACAGGAGGTAGAGATGAAGATAAAGAGAATTCCAGGCAGGGGGGACAGCAAGTGAAAATTCCCAGAGTCGGGAGATGGAGTTTTTTATACGAGAAACAAGAAGGAATTGTACATGATGGGGGAGTGAGTAAGGCAGAAGAGTACTGGAAAGGTAAGAAAGACCCAGGTTATGAAGGGCTTTGAACACCAAACAATGAATTTTATCTTTGATCTTGGAGGTAACAGAGTATTTAATTAGCGTTTACTTAATTGGGGGTGTGGGTGCTAATATGGTCAGATCTGCACTTTACGGAGGTCAGTTTGACAGTGGAATAGAGGATGGACAGGAGTGAGGGACCACCTCAGCAGTCAAGGCATGAGTGATGAGGGCCTGTGCCAGGCTGGTGGCAGTGTCAGAAGAAAGAAGAGGATGTCAGAGATGGAAATAAAGCTTTATTATAGGGGTTCTTAACCTTTTTTGTGTCCAGGAAACCCTTTGGCAATCTGACAAAGCCTATGAACCCCTTTTCAGAATATTGGTTTTAAGTGCATAGAACAAAAGTATAATATATAATAAATAATACCTGAAATATAAAATAAAATATATAAGATTGTAAAGGAAATTATATTGAAATATAGCTATCAAAAATATTTTTTAAAGTTTATGGACCCTAAATTAAGAACTCCTGCTTTATTAAGTGCCTAGTACGTGCCAGGCACTCACTGTGCTAAGCACTAGATATATAAAATGCAAAAGTAAGACTGTCCCTTACATTAACATAATATTAAAGGTGGGAAAAGGCCTTAGAACTCAGAACAGAAAATGTTAGAGTTAGAAGAGTCCTTAGAAAATAGGTTAGACTATGGAACATAAAATGTCAAAGTAGAAAAGACCTTGGACATTATTCTGCCTAACTCCCTCTTTTAACATAGAAATAAACAGATCTCTTTTTTGTTGTTCAGTCATGTCTGACTCTTCATGACCCATGGACCATAGCACATCGGGCCCTTCTATCCTCTGCTATCCCCCAAAGCCTGTCCAAGCTCACCTTTGTTGCTTCCATGGCACTATTTATCCACATCATTCTCTGTCATCCCCTTCTCCTGTTGCCTTCAATCTTTCCCAATATCAGGGTCTTTTCAATCAATAAGTGTTTGTCAAGCACCTACAACGTGCTAGGCACTGGGGATGTAAGTACAAATAATGAAGTAATCCTTTCTAACAAAGTGCTTACATTCTAATGGGGATGTTAAAGATATTACCTAAGGCTATCTGTCTTAGGACAAGAGTGTAGATTCAAACCTGCATCTTATGACTAATAGACCAGTGTTATTTCAAAGAACTGCTTGTTTCTTTGGACCATCAAGAAGGGTGTAGCATATTTTTAAAAATGATAATTTGGACATTAAAATTAAAATCAAAATCTGTCTACTTCACTATGAGAAACAAACTGATGGAATGAAATGGCTCTGATCTTAGTGAGACTCAGGGGACCCACGTTCTAAGAAACTCCCAGATGGGGAAACTTCCTCTAAAAATGTAGGTTAGCACCTCTTCAGCAGTTTAGGAGAGGGTAAGTGATTTGCCCAGATTTGTACATCTAGTAGCTGTCACAAGCAGGACTTGAACCCAGGTCTCCCTAGCTTTGAAGCTGGTTCTCTGTCTCCTATCAGGTTGCCTTTCATTGAATGTTATAATGCAAGTTATTTGGGAATATTGGAACAAGAAATGCTACACTTCAGACTATAGTCCTCTTTGAATCACTTCACTACTTTTGCTCTTCCTCTAGGGAATTAAGATTCTATGGCTGCTCAGTCTTACCATTCTTACTTCCCACGTACCTTACCTCAAAATGATCACCAAAAAGCTGGAAGGGACATTAAAACAGCAAATGTTTGATCAAAATAAAGAATTCTAAGACTGGAAGAAACCATCCTTCCCCATTCAAATATTTTTTACATGGTCCCACTTAAAGTACTCAATTCTTTTTGTTGCTTTTCAGTCATTTCAGTCATGTCCAACTCTTCATGACCCCATGTGGGATTTTCTTGACAAAGATACTCGAATGGTTTGCCATTTCCTTCTCCAGCTCATTTTTACAGATGAGGAAACTGAGGCAGTGTTAAGTGACTTGCCCAGGGTCACACAGCTAATATGTGTCTGAGGCTATATTTGAATTCAGGAAGATAAGTCTAGCTACCCCAAGTCTTACTTCCTGTTTAAATCTGATAGTCCAATCCCACTATATTATAGATGAAGACCATGAGGTCCAAAGAGGGGCAGTCACTTGCCAAAGCTCACTCAGCTAGTTAATAGTGGGGTCAGGATGACAGCTTAGCTCTTCTGGCTCTCCGGTAAGTGTTCTCCCAACTAGACAAAATTGACATGGATTACCAATAATACGTTCATCATTTTTGGAAGGCCCTTCAGAATAAATCCTCCAGTGTTGTTTATTATAGTTACCTGTGTTTGTGCCTTATGCCCTTACTAGATTATGAGCTCCATAAGGCCAGAGATCATATCAAATAATTAAATTCAGCAGACATTTATTGAGAGTCTACCATGTGCCAAGTACTATCCAAGGTACTGGGGATACAGAGACAAAAAAACAAAGCAGTCCATGACTTCAAGGAGTTTATATTCTACCTCATACTTGTATTAAAGTTGAGTCTAGAAAGAGAAGATAGAGTCTCCCTGTGAAGGGCTTTTATTAACCAAACCAAACAGGTGTTTCTATATTATCTTAAAAGCACTAGGGAGCTACTGAGGTTTCTTGAGCAAGAAAGTGGCCATGGTCAGACCTGAGCTTTAGTAATGTCAGCTCTACAGCTGTGGGCAGCATGGATTGGAGGGGAAAGACTGAAGGCAGCAAAGCTAGTTAGGAGACCATAAACCAAGAAAGAAATGATTAGGGCTTGAACCAGGGTGGAGGCTGTGTGAGTAAATGACAGGAATGGATAAGAGAGATGTTATGGAGGTAGAATTGATGAGACTTGGCAGCTGGGGGCAGTTATGAAGGAAACAAGAGAAGGAAAAATGGAGGATGATTCTGATGCTGCTGACTTATTTCCACAAAGATTCCCACACATATATGCACAGAATTAGAAGTGAAAAGAAACTTAGAGGTCAATTAGGCCAATTCCCCCATTTTACAGATGAGGAAACTGAGGTTGAGAGAGGTTCAGTGACTTGCCCAAAGTCAAAGCTTTAACTGAGGTCTTCTGATTACAAATCCAGTGTTCTTTCCACTATATTACAATATCTAGCATAGTCCTCTGCAAACAGTTGGCACTTAATAATAATTAATTGATTAATTGATGCTGCTATAAAGATGTCCTCATTTTATCGATGTAGAAAGTGAGCCACAATGAAGCCAGAGTCAATGGCAGGGCCAGGATCAAAATGAAGACTTCTCAGACTTGTGCTCATAAGCCCATCTGGCTACTTCCTCCTGTTTCAGTCTCTTGGGCCTGTATTAATAGCTTTGCATGCATATGAGATGCACATGAAATTAAATGTGGATGAGGCTCTGGGGAAACTGAGGCAGGCAAACGAGAAAGTGCTTCCACCCACCCACCCTCCTCTACCACAATGAGTTTTGCTTGAACCTTTCATCAGAACATTTCTCAAGTTCAGAAGGACTAAAACCACAATGTACATTTCCCATTTCCTCTTTTCCCCTCACGCTCCTTCCTTTTGGTTAACCTTGCTGAGTGTGCTGTTAAACTCCAGCTGGGTAGAAAGCAGAAATTCTGTTAAGAAACAAGCATTTCTCACACACATACACACTCACTCTCAGTGCTAGCCAAAAGAAGAAGAAACATCTTTCCCCAGGGTATGCAGTTTACATGGACCCTCTCCATCCTGCCATTCTCCCCTCTTCCTTGAGAATAAAACCCAGGAAGGCTGAGAACAGGAAGTTATCGTCTTAGAAGAAGCAGGGTCTGAGAACTCTCCATTCTTTTCAAGAACATATCATTGACTCTGGTCTACATTTGCCTCTTAGAACACTGGACTTTGAGTCAGAAAGACCTGAGGTCAAATTCTGTCTCACATACTTGCCTTCCAGGCAGGCTCTAGGCAAGTTGCTTAATCTCTTTCAGACTTAGTTTCCTCATTAGTAATAATAATAACCTCTACATCACAGGGCTGTTACGAGAATCAAATGAGATAACATAGGGAAAACACTTTACAAACTTTTTAGAGCTATATAAATACTAGCTATTATTATTTCTCTCTTGGTAAAATAGGGCATATTTTAGAAGCTTTACTTCTCCAGAATGGTCCTTCCTGGAACCATCCAGATCTCTTCTAGTTAACCAAATGCTGGCATTTTAGAATAGTTGTTGATCTGAACAGAAGGTAGCTGTTCATTTGGCTTTTTGCTAAGTCTTCCCTGAGCTAGGGGGTGTCATTGGCCCTGCTACCTCATTCCAAGGGTTACTGGGAAAAGTGGGATAAGCACTTCCCCACCTCAGTACTGTCCTTAGGAAATCATTGACAAGAAACTGGAAAGCTGACAAAGTGAATCAGAATTTCATTCATTCTCCTACCTCCTCTCCCTCTCACCCTCAATCAATTTTGCTTAGTATCATAAAATAATAGAACATTTTAGAGCTGGAAAGGGAGTTACAAGATAGAACAAAGAACCATGAGAGTGGGAAGGGCTCTCAGAACCCTAGTACACTGAATGTTGTACCTGAAAGGTACTGTAGAACCACAGATTGGAAAATGTTTTCTCTAGAAGAGATCTTAGAATAACAGAAAATCAGAGACAGGAAGAGACCTTAAAACAAGGGAGGAAGACTGTCAAAGCTTGGAGGGGTCTTAATATCATAGAACCATATTGTGCTAGAATTGAAAGGGACTTTTAAAAACAGAGCAAGTCAGAATGCCGAACACAGAATGTTGGAGATCACCTACGCATTCGTTTTACCGAGGAAATTGAGGTTTAGAGAGAGAGGAAGTGACTCCCTAAGGTCACAAGGTGAGTTACTGGCAGGACAGAGACAAGAACCCAGGGTCTCTCAATTTCCACATCAGAATTTTTTTTTTTGCACCATATGGGGTTGTTTCTTTTTCTCCAAAGTACATTTGCATGGGTTGACCAGAAAACATGTAATGGAGCCATATGAGATCCTGTAAGCTGACTTGACCTGTGCAAGGCTAGAGATAAAGGATTAGAAGCAAGTTGTTTTAAAAATTCACAGAGGAGCAAAACTTTTTTATTCTTGGAAACTAGGATCCTTCTCTACACATTTATTATCTCTGATGCTTATTGATCAATTTTTTTGAAGCACTAATTCTCTGTAGCCCATCTCTTTAACACCTATAGTCTCTAGGTAATGCTAAATGGCTATGACTCTAGGACCATCACAATTTCCTAAGGATCAAAAAAATGACAAGAAAACCAAAGAGACACACATAGTGGCTGTAAGCAGGCTACAGCATGGCATCAGAGAAGATTAGTATAAAAGACATCATCGAGGACAAAAATGATCAGAAATGGAGTATTAGAGACAACAGATGGGCTGACCCAGTGCTGCACCAGAGGAAGGCTTCCATACTGAAAGAATCCTCTGTGGCACAGCAGAATGAACCCTCCACCTGGAACCAAAGGACCTAGGTTCAAATCCCACCTCATACCTTTGTGACTTAAAGCAAGTTACTTAACCCCTCTGTATTTCATTTCCTCATTTATAAAAGGTGGAGGTTACGCTAAATGGTCTCTAAGATATCATCCCACTCTGTCTACAATCTCACAGCTTTCCAATTCACAAGGGGAAGAAAAACCCAACATGGATACAACCCATTCAGGATGGGAAGGCACAGATAGATAATGGCTATGGAAGAAACTCCCACTCCAATGAGCTCAGAGAGCCATTAATTATATCACTGAGTGGCTTTTGGACTTGTGCAGCAGCTAGGATTTAAGAACCATAGCTGTTCTGGGATTTGGAGATCCAGTGGGCCTGCTCACCAACAAGGTAGTTCCCTTTTTCCAGAGGAGTTTGAATTGACTATCAATCCGTTGCAGAAACGGAAATCCTTCCTTCTTTCAAAAGGGAAAAAGTAAGAAAATTTTGAAAGATAAAATATTAATCCAATTTGGGTTGGGAAAAAAGGCATTCCTGCTTGGTAGCTATACCCAGACACACTGGCACTAAATAATACTTTCCTGATTCTAGCATTGCCTTCTTCTGTCTGTTTCTCAGTCTCTATTCTTTCTCTGTCTTTCTGTTTCTTATTCATCTTTCTCTCTTGCTGTTTCTCTCATTGCATCTCTCTGCATATCTCATATTTCTGCCTCTGTCTCTTTCCCTTAACTTATTATTTGTTTCCCTGGATGTGAGGAACATCTTAATACACCCAGAGTTTAAAATAGCATGAAGCTAACTCAGTTAGAGTCCTGACAAGTGAATTAGCAGACAAACATAAGCAAGGACCTATTTGCCTCCCTGCTGAGTGACTCACGAGTTCTGAGGAATCAGGAGAGACTGGACCTTCTGGTCTAGGTCCAACCCTTGAAATGACTATATGTGCTTAAGGGACCACAAGATAGAGGGAGAGAAGGAGAGAAGTGAGGGGAGGCAGGAATTCCTTCCAAGCCATCTTCCTTACTGCCTTGCCATAGCCCCTAACCCACCCTCTATGCCACAAATGCCATTTGGGTTAGTTCGGACAGACAACAAGGTGACTGGGAGCCTGGGACAAAGGGATATAGGGAGTCACTTACACAGGCTGGGGGGTCTTGAACAGGCTGCCGTTGTATCTTTGCCTGACCCCTTGAAACAAGCCCACATTGGGAGGCGGAGGCTGGGTCCCCGAAGGAGCTGCAGACCTGGAGGGGTGATGGCATGAGTGAAACAAGGAAAAATACTCAGAGTAAGAGAAGCGGGTCATATCAAGGGATTGTTGGAAGCAGGATCGAGGGGAAGATAGAGAGAAAGAGGGAGAGAGGAAGGGGGAGGGGAGAAGGGAGAGAAAGAGATAGAGAGAGAGAGAGAGAGAGAGGGAGGAAGAGAGAGAGAGAGAGAGAGAGAGAGAGAGAGAGAGAGAGAGACAGACAGACAGACAGACAGACAGACAGAGACAGAGACAGAGAAAGAGAGAGACAGAGAGAGAAAGAGAGAGAGAAGCTGACGCTGGGCACTGGGACTTTGAATGAAAGCAGATGGCCACAGCTTGCTCTGGGCTGGACTCAGCTGTTCTCAGCTCTGATTATTTTTGGCCTTCTGAGGAAGCACCAAGGGATTTGAATGACCATATAAGACAACAATGAGGTTCACACCCCCCCTTGAAAAAAAAAAACAACAACCACACAGAAGAAAGATATGAAGTGACATGATATTCTCCACCTCCAAGGAAGATTTGAAAAAGTGGTCAGAGTGGTTAGCTGCAAGCTGAGGTCACGAAATTGTCCCAGCCTTATGGTGCCTTCAGGGCCAGGTCCCATCTAGGCTGAGAAGTGCCTCTTCCAGGAAATCAGAGTGCTCAAGCCCTTTTCCTCTTCTGTTCTTTGACAACTAAGTTTAATTCAACAAGCTTTTATTAAGCACCTGCTCTGTGCAGGGTTCTGGGGGATGTAGAGAGTTTGAAACCCTGTGGTCATGGTCTCTTCCTGAGTCTTCCAAGCCCACTGGCAGGATATATATAATAGAATAGAAAAACTCCTGCCCTGAGGGTCAGGAGACTTAATTCCAAATCCCAGTTCTTCTGATAAACTAAGGGATCTTAATTGAGAGTCCATGAATTTGTTATTATTGTGTTGTTTTTAAAACATATTTTGACAACTGTATTTCAATACAATTTGTTTCCTTGGTACTCCTATGTATTTTATTTTATGCACTGAAAAACCATACTCTGATACTTAATCATGGGCTTTGCCAGACTGCCAAAGGGTTCCATGCCTTTTCATGTAAAAGGGTTAAGAACCCCTGGACTAAACAGACAGGTGAACTTGGGAAAAGTCACTTCATCTGCCTCACCTGCCTTGGTTTCCATCTATGAAATGAGAAGGTTGGAGGTTAGAGGTTAAGGTTAGTTCTGATATTTTGTGAATCTACGAATGATATCTGTGATTCCTTATCACATCTTTCATAGTAGCTGGTCTAAACTTTCTACGTCCTCCTCAAGGCCCCTATACCAACCTCTCCCACCACCCTTTCAGTAAAGGACCCCACATCATGCTTAAATGAGAAAAATCTAATAGTAGCTAACAATTACATCTTTGTCGTGTCATTTTTCAGTTGTGTCTGACTCTTCGTGACCCCATTTGGGGTTTTCTTGGCAAAGATACTGGAGGGGTTTGTCATTTCCTTCTCCAGCTCATTTTTCAGATAAAGAATGGAGGCAAAAAGGATTGAGTGACTTTTCCAAGATCATACAGCTAGCAAGTGTCTGAAGCCAGATTTGAACTCATAAAGAGGAGTCTTCCTGACTCCAGGCCTGGTGCTCTATCTATTGTGCTACCCAGATGCCTAGCATTTATATAGTTCTTTATAATTACTACCTCATTTGATCCCCACAATAATTCTGAGGGGCATTTTTATCTCCATCTTACAGATGAGGAAACTGAGACAAATAGAGGTTAAGTGACTTGCCTAGGGTCATACAAATATCTAAACCAGATTTGAACTCAGGTCTTCCTGACATCAGGACAGGTGCTCTATCTACTGTGCCACTTAGCTGCCCATAAGTACCCACTCTTCTCCCCTATTCTACATCTCAAAACACTTTTACATCTTATCTCATTATGTCCTTCTTTACCACAGTCTATGAGGAAGAGATAGTCCTTTTTCCTCAGCAGAGCCAGTCCCTCTACCCATGCCCTTGACTGTCTCCTCAGCAAGTTTGCCCCCTTTGATTATCCTTTCTCTGCTTCACTCATCTTCTAGCTCTCTTTACCTGCTGGATCCCTCCCAGTTTCCTACAAACAGGCCAGTCCCCCCCCTTAAAAAAAAAAATAAACACCTTACTTGATTCTACCATCCCCTAAAGATAGCATCCTATATCTTTTTCCTTTAACAGTCTAACTCTTAGAAAAATCTGTCTACACTCATTGCATCCACTTCCTAACCTCACTCTCATTTTTCAACCCCTGTGATTTGGCTTGTAACACCACCACTCAGTGATTATCAACAATATCTAAACTGCTCAATCTGAGAGCTTTTCTCGGTCTTCATCCCTCTTGACCTCTCTACAGCTTTTTAACACTGTTGACCAACATCCTGGGTGTTCTAGACACCTGGTTCTCCTACCCGTGTAACCACTTCTCAGTCTCCCTTGCTGAGCCATCATCTATGTCCTGCCCACTAAATGTTGGTGTCCTTCAAGGACCTGTCTTGGGCCTTCTTCTCTCTCTACACCCTCTGTCTTGGTGGTCTGATCAATTCTCAAGGGTTTATCATCTTTCTACATAAGACTATCAAGTCTACATAGGTGTGTTAGCTTCCTCCAGAATTCCAGTCCTCTATCACCAAATGTCTGCTGGACATCTCTACCTAGATGTCTCATCAGCAACTCAACATGTTTAGAATGGAACTCATAATCTATGACCTCCGAAAACTGTCCTTCCTTTAAACTTCTCTTTCTCCATAAAGGCCACCATTGGCCTCCCAGTCACTCAGATTCATAACCTTGGAGTCACCCTTGACTCTTCCCCACCCTGCCCCCATTTTAAAATCAGTTGCAAAGTCTCATCATTTCTACTTCCACCATATCTTCCACCATATCATTAGCCCATTTTACAAATGAGGAAATTGAGGTCGACTGAGGTCAAGTGACTTGCTCAGGGTCAAAGAGATAAGTATCAGAGACAGTATTTGAACTCAGATCTTTCTGACTGCAGTCCAGCCCCCTACCTACTAAGCCACCTTACTGCTTGGAATTCACCTAGATTTAAGGTAGGATGGGATATAGAGAATAGCAGTTTTGTTCCTGAACTATTTTCACGTGATTTTGAGTGGGCAAAAGGCATTTTCATTTTCCTCTGCTTTAACATCCATCCCCATTTAAAGGAAGGTTGCAAGTGATTGGGGCAGGTAGATTTGATGGAGGAAGCAGATGAGAAAATGTTTTGCTTTGTTTTGTTTTTTAATTTTATCTCTGGCCTCAAGCCCCAATCTAGGCCTGACCCAGATCCTCAAACATTGTCCTCAGCTATTCTCTTATCAGCAATGTAAATAGACAGACTTCAAAAGACAAAACTGATTATAAGCACGATTCCCCTGTCTAGGCCTCAGTGTCTTCCATTATAAAGGGAGTGTGTTGGAGCCAGCTTGTATTGACTCTTGAGAGCTGATTATTAAATTTTCTGTATGAGTGGAAATTGTCAAATGCTACAAATCCTGGCTTGATTTATTATTCTCTTGACTTTCTAGACTTTAAAAAGTTATGAAGAAAATTTTAATAATGCAAATTAAATTTAAAAGTGTGTTGCACTTTCTTTTTTCCTCCAGAGAGCCGGTTGTTAAATATTTACCGACACATCACTAGACTAAGGAGTATTCTCTTAGATCCTTTTTAGCTCTAAATCTACACTCCTCTGAGAACTTCCTGCTTTCACAGTCTAGTTTTGAGATCTCATTCTATGACCTAAGGTCCTTTTCAGGTATTCCGTATTTTAACATTCAGTCCAATTGATCCCAACAAACATATATTAAGTAACAACTGTATGCAAGGCACAGTGTTAAGTACTTTGTGGTTGTTGTTGTTTCAGTCACGCCTGACGCTTTGTGACTCCATTTGGGGTTTTCTTAGCAAAGATACTGGAGTGGTTTGCCATTTCCTTCTCCAGCTCATTTTTCAGATGAGGAAACTGAGGCAAACAGGGTTAAGTGACTTGCCCAGGGTCACACAGCTAGGAAGCGTCTAAGGCCAGATTTGAACTGAGGAAGATGAGTCTTCCTGACTTCAGGCCCAGCACTCTATCCACTGCACCACCTACTTGTCCATATTTACTCCAGTCCCCTCTTCTTATAGATTAGGAAATCAAAGTCCATAGAGTCCTCTATCCATTATACCATACTGTCTCTCCAGTTTTTGTAGACAATATTTAAATACACTCTTATTTAGAGAATGTTTAGACTGGAAGAGACCTGTAGGACTGTCTAACCCAATTCCCTCATTTTACAGATGAAGAAACTGAGTTCAAGAAAGGGAAAGTAACTTGCCTATGGTTACATGGCTAGTAAGTGGCCAAGCTGTGACTCAAACTGGAGTCCTGTTAAGTCTTTCTCAAACAATGTTTCAGCTGCCTTCTCCCCCTCACCCCTGTGGCCCCCTTTCTCCCATTAATGAGATCATCCCAGAATTTCCATTTTGAAGGGCCCAGACCAGCCATCCTTCATCCTCTGGACTTAATCACCATACCCCCATGGAGGCATTTCTCTCCCATGATATTCAGCTCCCTTTTATGTGTAGTCTTTCCCCATTAGAATGTAAGCTTCTTGAGGGCAGGGATTGTCTTTCTTTTTGCTTGTATCTGTATCCCCAGCACTTAGCATAGTACCCAGAACTTCGGAGTTGTAAGCTCTTAACAGATACTTGTAGACTTGACTTGATTTTCCACACTCTCTGGACTCTAAGACTAAATGCTTTACAGAGGAAGTACGATATGGTATATAAAGTTCTGAACTTAGAATTAGGACGAACTGGGTTCAAATGCCACCATAAACATTTATTAGCTGAATAGGCAAGTCACATAAGTGATTTTCCCAATGTCACACAAGAAGTAAGCATCAGCGCAGGAATTCAAACTAGGTCACATGACCCTAAATCTAGTACTCTTTTTATTGGACCACACGGATTCCCAGTTGTAAGTTCCCAAGTTCTCAACAG